GGTACCGGGGTCCTTTCCCGGGGGTAAAGCCGGCCGGGGCGTGATGCTGACCACTCACCCCCATCTAGTGCCGAGGTCAAGGAAGAGAGGAGCTATACCTCCACTCACCCCAAACGCCTACATGGCGTATAGTGGGACAAACTTTACTTTACTTTACAATCATAACATAAGAAGAGTGTTATAATGCCACAAGATAGATAACGTGTTAAGAAGAAGTGATGTAATTAAAATATTGAAACAATAAAGTATATTAATCCTTTTACACATAAAATTCTGTACGAACATGTAGTATTTAAAAATGAATGTTATTTTAGTCCGAATACTGTCCCACATGCTAAAAACCAAATTCTATAAAAGGTGGGGAATTTGTTGACTCTTAGTAACTGTGTATTAGCTTCTGAAAAGCGGCTCCGATCCACAAAATTTGGTATTAGATACAATATGACATATCCAGGTATACCTATCATTTAATAATGGAACATTTCCAGCAAATTACGAGGTAAGTGAGACATATGCATCAAAACTGAGTTCAATATATAGTCCCTTTTCAATGCAAACTTTTTATGCGACTATAAATATAATCCACTGAGTAGCTTTAGAGATTAATCAAGAGGATATATGAATATTTCACCAGTTATCAACGAGTTTAAGCAATTTAGTCCAAAAATACACGCTGGGGTTGCTGACATCTTGTGAATTGTATTTAGTCACCGTCATTCATCATGTCCGCCCTCTAATTGACTTTGGACCACCGCAGAAATCAATATAAAGCAATTCGCTGATAATTCTAATTGCACATGACTCATCGAGTGCAGAGGGTAAGGCTTGCAGGAGCAGACCGCAGGTCTGCCACTGCAACTATTATCGAGTTTGGCAGCAAGAGACTACGAGGACTAGGAACTCGTTGATGCCAATGTGTTAAGACAGCTTTGTAACAGTTTTAACTCTGTTTAAAAAATGCCCTGTCCTCTAGCACGGACAACACTTTGGAAGAGGAATAGTTAAATGTCCAAACTACTGATATTGATGTTAAAAGTATTAAAGTTACGGGAAATGAAAATTGACGGTGCATTGGACGCTGAGTCATAAGAATTAAGACTTAGTCATCACCGCTGAGATAGTGAAAATAATTTTTCTTTCGCCTTTCTTTCTTTTCCCTTTCTTCCTCGTCTTCTTATTATTTCTATCTATTTTTTCTCTTCTTCTTTTCCTTCTTCATTGTCTACGATCTGTCCGTAATTAACCACATTTTTTGTGGCTCGGTAGGTGACTACTTAGGTTGGCTGGATGATTGAGTAGTTATAAAGTATTTGCTATTTATTGAAAAAGTATTCGTTAAATACATAATAAAGTAGATCTCTGGGATCCATTCACCCTCATCTCCAATGGATAATTGTAGTTCTGTCTTAGGGGATAAAGCACCTGGAACTTGAAACTAACCAGCCATCTTCTGCCGTCTTCTGAAATAAATGTTGTTTAACCCTCACCCACTCTTTATGGCCCAATGGCTCGTTGCGAGTTTGCAAGCAAATATGTCGCTGAACAAACAGGAAAATTATTGAACTAGATTGTGATTTAGAAGACCCGTTACAATCTGCCGAGTTGAAAATTATTATCACCCAGAAGATGGCTGTCTTCTGGGTTGTTGCGCCGTGTAGTTTGGTAGAAGTTTACCGAATCACAAATCACAAATTTTATATATAGATTGTAGCGAATGTTTGTAAATCGGAAGTTTTTTAATTGGTAGGTATAAAGGATAATGTCAGGCGGAATCTATGGGAGATAGGAGTTGAAGGAGACTGGATTTTGTTGGCCCAGGACAGGGTCTAGTAGAGGGCTTTGGTTAATTCGGTGATGAACCTCCTGGTTCCGTAAGCCATCCAATTAGTTAGTTAGGTATACAAAGATCTCCAAATTAGGCCTGCTTCTTCGAGATTGTGCATAACTCGTGGAAACTGATAGTGAAAGTCTTGTAGTGGTTTATTATCCTTGAATTTTTATTCAAAATATTAGCTAGTTCTTACTGATAGAAGTCTTATTAGGATGTCACTCTGAGACAGGATTAATTCCTTTACTTTAACGACGTGCTTTATTTACTGTTCCGTTGGTATATCTTGTTACCATTCGTACGACTTAATCTTGAATTAATATTATATATGTAATGTGTCACACTAATTTTTGTTATCATTTCACTAAACCGTACTTATATTATCAAAATAAATTAATTGTAAAATATATTAAATAGAGCATTTGGAAGTGTTTGAGAACGAAGAACTGAGGAGGATATTTGGGCCTTATAAAGTCTTGTAATTTACACACTTTTACCCTAATTCAGGGCAAAAAATGAAGGAAAATGTGATGGTAGGAATAAATAGTTTGCATACACAGATGATAAATGCTTGCAAAATTTCAGTTAGATCTCCCCATCCCTCCCCACAACGACACGGTCTGGGTATTGATGGGGAGTTAAAGTAAATGATAATGGTGGCATTGACTAAATTTTATCGCTCAAGACAGGCACCGCTGAGGGAACCTTGTGAACACCATAATGAAAGGCTGGGTCCGGCGAGGGCGATGAGGGACGTGCCGTGACCACTTGAGCTATCAGATTTTTAAGGACTGCTCGATAAAGTGAGTTATTATTACTTCAGCAATTGGATCTGTCTCAACTCTATATTGAAAGACGTTGCTCAGTGTAGTGACTTGCTACAGACTGGACAACCGGGGTTCGATCCCCGTCGGGGGCACAGGATTTTTCCTCTAGCCTCTGCGTCCAGACCGGCTCTGGGGCCCACCCAGCCTCCTGTCCAATGGATACCGAGGTCCTTTCCCGGGGGTTAAGCGCGGCTGGGGCGTGATGCTTGCCATTCACCCCATCTATTGCTGAAGTCAAGAATGAGTAGGAGCTATACCGCCTCTCCCCCAAACGCCTACATGGCGTAAATGGGACAGCTTTACTTTAGTTAAAGAGAGCGTTAAATAATTTATGTTATAATTTGAATGGTTGCTAAAATCCAGGGCGCGATTGTTGAGAAAATTAAAGAATCGCTTTAAACAATGGCGCTAAATATTAATATAATGAAATGTGTATATAAACAATGTTTTGAGAGGCGTTTTGAGGAGAAAGGCCTGGTATAAGTTTCCCTGGCATTATTGCTTTACCCCCGGGAAAGGACCCCGGTACCTATTGGATAGGAGGCTGGGTGGGCCCCAGAGCCGGTCTGGACGCAGAGGCTAGAGGAAAAATCCTCTGCTCCGGTCGGGGATCGAACTCTGGTTGTCCAGTCCGTAGCCAGTTACTGTACTACACAGGCTCATAGACATTTTAAAGATAGCATCTATAAATACCGCACTAAAAATTATTTTGCATTTGAGATATTTTAATAATATTTGTGGTCAGCAAAAATAAAGATGACTGTCTTCTGGGTTGCGTCGTGTGGTCTGGTAGAAGTTTACCAACGTATCATAGGTCTTTGCTGTCATAAGAACCCAAAATCTCACTTAACAACAATATTTATGAAAATATTTTATCAGGCATATATTAGGGATTTTGGATATTTATGGAGATCAGTTTTAGAAGATGGAGAGATAGCGTTATCAACACATGCCCGCTCTTTGTTAGTCAGCCACGGCCAGTTTCTGAGATTGAACAAGAACTCTGCTTAAATTAGTAAAATTTATTTTCTTCGGATTCTTCAACGAACAAACGAACAAAATATGACACATAAATTGGGATTTATGTCTACCCTTTCTTCTACTAGATGAATCACGTATACCTTCTCAGATCGTTTTTCTTAATATTTACTCTAGGTTGTGCCATTCTCTGAAGACATCAATATTCACAACGCAGTGTGAATTGCGCGAACCAACAGCAGCAGAGTTCTGTGTTCTTTGTCCTACAATCACAAAGTGCACTGACCACTACTGAAGATACTTGTTTTGGCTTCAAACCAATACATGTTAATACGATCTAGCAATAAAATTTATTTCCATAACTCGTTCTGGTGCTTCAAGTAATTTAGCTCCTTCTGTTTTACAGTCAAAATGAAATTGGTCTCGCTTTGCATATTCATTTTTTCCTCAAACTTGCCCATTATTACGTCATATATCTGTGCAGCTGAAGTTGTGTATTAACGGCACGACCTGCCTTGCAACACGCCAGCAAAATGATAAGTTGTGCGTTTCTGAGAAGGCTCACAACAATGTCTGCACTCTGACCAACACGTCTTTGCCCATGAACGATTGTATTTCTCGCGGGTTCCTGGATTGTGCTACGAAACAACGACATAGCCCAAAATAACTAAGCTGAAATTCTGCGATTCGGTTGTTAGCAAATAGACACTTAGTGAGATTCCTGATTGTCACTGCGTCGAATATGAAGATGGCTGTCTTCTGCATTACCGTCGTTCCAGAAGTACTTGCTGCCTCCATCATCGGGGCACAACAATTCAGAAGATAGCCATCTTCAAGTAGACTTATATTCTCTCGTGAAATCGAGTGTTCCATTGCCCCGGATGCATGGTACTGGAGATAAAAACATGACGAGGACCGTACTAACTTGAGATCCTCATTTAATGCATGTGTGATTCAATCAGTAAGAATGAAACGCGCGGGGGTGGGTGGGGGAGGGGGGCTTGTAGCAGTCATGGGGTTAGTAGGTGTTGGAGAAATAAGGTGTGACTCAGACTGAGGATAAGGCCCTCTCGCGGGATTTTGTTATAGCGGTGATGATTCTTCGGGTTCCATAAGATTGGGAAGTTTATTTTTCAGCTGAAATATTTTCGAATACCATTCTCTACTGTTGAGTTAGTTTCATCGCGGTGAGTAAGTTGGTCAGTAGCTGTGAAACAACCATTCTTAGCATGTTCTGAAGCTATAGCTATGTCTTAGGACCATTACCACTTCTTTCGACAGAGATAATGAAGCAAATAAAGCCGACAATAATTTTTCCTCTGTAATACTTTGATGCAGAGAGAAGTGTCGCATTTTAGCTCAACGACTTCGTCGCTGAAGAGCCTTCAGAGATACCTTCCTGCTTTTGTCAGCCAGACTCACTCATACGAGAGCATAAGCGCCAACTCAGCTTTAATTCTTTGGTAAGTACTAATAAAGTTCCCTGTTTAAGCATAGTTTGTAAGCCTGCGATTTAGAGTGGGGAAACTGGGTTCACGTCACATTGCGCTACAGATGTCCAACGCTGTGAATGTAGGCCTAAGTTTTTCTTTCTACTCCGGTCACCTATCACTGACACATACTTTCTTTATACATTGCGTCACAGTTGAATTCTGTATTAAAATAATTTATTCCACTAATACTAGATTTTGATTAAGCTAATTATCGCACTTTAATCATATGTGTGGTTTAAAGTGAATTTCAGTGACAAAGTAATTAACAGGTTGCATGAACACATTAACACCCTCTGCTGTTGGCCAACTGCATTGAAATAGGAGTGGGGACGTCTCGTAATGCTCTTTGCCATTTTGTTTTTTAACTAGTCTCCGTGCACACGTATGGCGACGGTTCTGAGGGCCCACAAAGGTCATTAAAACTTTCTTTTTGGCTGAATGAATCCATTCGACAGTCATTTTCCATCAGTTATGAACTATGTTGTTTTTATTTCTGTTACTCGAGTAATTACTAAACAAATTTGCATTTTGTGTACCACAGGTTATTTAATAAAAAACACTCAGTCCCACCATAATGAAGGGAATGTTCTTTTCCCAGTAAGTGTATAAATAGGGGTACCTGCTCATCAAACTAACGCATATTCTTTGTACAATAACGATTCAGTATAAAGGAAGAGCCTCAGGTGATGGATTCGTGGCGATAAAGAAATTTTGACAACAGAGAAGAGACTGAAGAGAGAGAATTGTAGAGTTATTTCGACCGAATGTAAATACCAGCTAAATTCTTTCTGCCTTCCCAGGTTAGTTGCAACAGTAATTAAATATTTACATGGTAATTTCATTCATGAAATTAATTATTAGAATTTTAAAAAAAGAATAGATATATTTAAATAAAAATTGTTGCAAATCCTGCCGTTCGTATGTTGGTATTTTTATTTAGTGTCTGTTTATCCGTGCAATATTTAACGATGCTGTCAGCAGCTCAGACAAGAACCGTCAAATTATAACGTGATTGATGAATAATAAATTCGAAAAGATGTAGATGAAAGCTGTAGTGGTATCATTTAAGGCACTATCCCGGCATTTGACTGGAGGAACTGAGGAAAGACACGAAAAACCTCTTAGGCATAGCCAGTCTCCGGGTCGAGAACATAAACTGAAGCCATAGTTTTAACAGAATGCCTAACAGAACACCCAGATTCAACAAATATTTAAACTGATGGTTTAGTACGTATATCACAAACCTTGGGAGAGTATATCGTAATATAATTACAAATATTCTAAACTAGTAGAACCTAAGCGAACAAACTACACTGCAGTAGTTGCATGTCAGTATAAAATAAATTAAGATAGGTTAGTGAGACTATAACATGAAGGTAGTCAAAAGCTGATGAATCAGCGAGCGAAATTTTAGAGAGCAATGTTTGATCCTTGCTTGAAAAGTGACGTCTTTGCATTGTTTATAGGCAAAGTACGTGCTCGAATTATAAATGGCATGAGGAATACCAGTTATGAAGGTGACTGCCGTGCAGTCTCATAGAAATGGACCAACGTCTTAGAGGTGCTTATTGCCTGTATTTTGACTGTCATCTTCATACTCTACTCCGTGAGAACCAAAACTCCCACGCATGATGAAATTCGGAATATGTGATTAGAAGCGATGGTGGTGTATTTAAAACATTCTCTATCAGCATTAATCACAACGTCCATCACGATAAACGGATAAATCCCGGTGGAGTTTGTAAGTGTTATTGTATTAAAGTTATGTATTCAGATTATCGATAAAATAACGGCGCATATGGTACAGAAATCCTAGGATACTTATATCATCTTTTGTTTGCCGGACTTCTGCTTAGTAGGCATTACGTATTCGGAACGTCCTCCGACCGGTCGTTAACTATGTTAGTTACCAAGTTCCAAGTGTTCTAATGCAGCAATGCAGCCCTCTTCTCGTGATACGGAGTATTTATCTCTTCAAATTATCCACCTCACCTTTAATTACAGAGATAGCAAAAATGTAGTTGTTTCTGCCTCAACTACTATTTAATCTTACCACCCAAGTAACTTCACTCTATTTATGACCCATATCAGGATGACGAGCTGGCAAAGAATGGGAGCTTTGTAAGAGAGTGATTCTCTTCCCCGCAGAAAGGTGGCTCTCACCTCACGTCCGGTGTTGCAGGTACTCTTTTCAGAGGCACTGGTTGTCCTCGTCGATGACAGCCGCTCTTTTCGCTCCCAATTTTATTTGCTGGCTGTTGCTACGAAGTTTAAAATTTGTGTTGTCAGTTTCTGTTTGTTTACCGTGTCAGCAAGTGACGGAAACGGGAGTGGAGGTCCTGGCACAGTTCCTGGAGCTATTCTGGGCCCCGACATGCTTCCGCCGCAGGGGACGAATATCTTTGTTCCGGGGAAACTCCTCAACACAATGTCGGTACGCGATTCGTAGCTGTGTAAATTGTTACCATGAAGACCTTTCTTGTAAATGAATGGTTGTTTCCTTGGTTAATTTACGACACTAAGTCTGTTGAGAGGGTTATAAAACATTAGATATATGAATCTGTAACGTGTCATTCCGTCAGGTATTAACATAAACAAAACTATGCACCAACAACATTTTTCCAGAGTCTGGTTATTGTTAGTTTAGATTAATACGAAATTCATATGCATTTCGACATAAGAGGCCATCGTCAGTAAACAATGTTGTTATATTAGTTCAAGTATGTGCTCCTTGATGGTTTGGCCTTAACAGTGAGGTCAATATTAATATGTTATAAATTAAAATAAAATTACCATGGTTGACAGTTGTATAAATATTGTAAAACTCGCTGACTTTGTGTTTGTATGCTGTAGTGATTAAGAATAATGATGAATCTCCTGTGAGAGAAAAGTTAAGGGCGTAAGAAAAACAAAATTTCTTTAAAAAACACAGTTTTTCACTTGAAGTTACCAAACTTTATACTTTCGCACACATATCCTAAAAATGCGTAATTACGTCGCATTGTCATCGACCCAAGAGACCTGAGTTGGATTCCAATGACTTCCAAAGGGGAATATTTATGGAATATTGATTTGTCGCATTGGATGCCATCATTAACTAAATTTAAGAAGTTGCAATTTCACTGTGTGACGCAAATTTTTATTATCATGTTAGTTGGGTCATATGAATTAAAGTTGCACGGAGGAAACATCCGAATCTGTAACTTCTGTCTGTCTGTCTGTCTCTCTATCTGTCTGTCTGTATGGGATAGTTAATTGGGAATGTAAGATATATATGTATATATAAACTTTTAAGAAAACATCTACCTAAACATCTATCCAGTATTTACGCATCTTGCCTATTGATTTAACAAACCAACGTAAAATAATATAATATAATCTGATATAATCTAAGCCAATCCATATTATCTGTCTTACCCATTTTATATATCTTTGCCTGTCTGTATATACTTCTTTCCTTTCTTCATTTTTCTGTTCCTACTTCGTTCCTTTCTCTTTCTCTCTCTCTCTCGTAGCAGTCCATCTCAACTGCACAGCTGGAACAGTCTGGAAAGAGAATAAAATAAATAGAAAAGAAACATACAGATAATCGTGTGCATTAAAATATCATAAAAACCAAAAGTCAGCCACTTGCAAATTTTCCAGCGGACTCTTTAAAATGTTTCGCTTAAACCGCAAGTGATTCAAGAACCACAGTTTTGGAACCATTTCTTAAAATTATTGAATTATGTGAAGTTTAAGATTAAGAATTTAATTCTGTTCAACCCTTTCGACATGTTTTCGATTTTCATGCCAGCTATAGTTGATTCCGAAGCCAGGTTACATAAGCTTACAGTATAAAGAAATAGTTTTTGGTAAGTACAAATTTTTATGCGTTCTGACAAGTTTATAGTCGCTCAACTAGCCATGATAATTCCCCGCATTTATGGAACCCAGTAAGTAGGTCATTACGGTATTCATAAAAGTCTCATCACTTATTACCCCTACCAAGTTCTTTAACATAAATTTTTAAATTATCCTCCTACATCTTCCAAGCAGTTTGTTTCTTTGAGGATAACCGACAAAAATATTCTGTGCATTCATCTTCACCTCATACATGCTACATATGCCGTCAATCTTATCCTGCCTGATTTATCAATTTAGTGATATCAGCTGTGAGTCACGTAATATTCATCCCCCTATCACCATCTTTTCATGCAATATCTCCAGTACTCGTTTTTCAAACGCATTAAACATTTCTTTTCCCTTCATATTAAGGCAGGTTTTAAAGCCAAAAGAATATTACTCAGATTCACATTATAAAGAAACAAATGACCACTGAGACTATGTAATCTGTCGCTAGAATGTCACGAGTCTGTTTTGCAGTAACGCATATCATTACGATCCGCCGATGGCTCAGAACGGTACGCGACGAAGGCAGATGTTAAGTAAGCTACTAGGAAACGTCGCGCGGTCATAAGCTACTGGGGTCACGGTTCTAATCAACTCAAATCTGACTATAGTTCTGTGTTCTGCTGAGTAGGCCAGATGAGACGAAGATCTTAGAGAAATAGTGACGATAGAGTGGATTCGTATGACTCCAGAAGGGGTTTTTGTTAATACGAAATAGAATCTTGTGATTCCATGAAAACGGGAGAGTTCATGGTCAGTTGACGGATTTGCAAGAAGGATCTCTAATCAGAGGACCTGCTTCATCTTCAGCAAATTTCTTTTGACTTATTTGCAGATTCTGACAATTTCCACGCGTCTGTAGGGGAGACTAAGGACAATGGATTACATTGCAACAAATCATTGATTGTGGGCAGGTTGCTTTTCAAAAGATTGTCAGTCATGCATCCAGCTTTTCCCAGATCTTATGGCATCATACTGATTACCAGTTCAATGGATATAAGTTGTATATTTGCGTGCATAAATTTTGTTTATATAATAAAGAATTTAGTTTATCATGCGACCGATGACCTTGAAATCTGATTTCCAGATAGTATAGTGCCTTACAAAACACTGGCGAAGTTTTGTGCAACGGGATCATATTATACAAGAAGAAAACCTGAAAAAGACACGTAGCAACATGACTACTAGATGATATTCATGCTTGATCAGCAAGCAAGACAGAACCACAGTTGTGCCTAACCTTCTGCCTCCAGACTGTGAATCACGAATTTGATATTGCAGGTGGATTCATAAATCGGTTTAATGGTCATCTTGTCCCAGAACTTGTGTTTTATTCTGATGTAGCATGCTTTACGATAAGCGGGTACATAAACATACAAAATAAGCAAGCAAACAAACAAACAAACTATTAACACTACAAATGACCCTAGTGCCAAACGCGTTTCGACCTCAAGAGGTCATCTTCGGTGGCAACAGGGAATTAGTTCATTTTTAAACGATTTTGATTATATGAATTAATTCCCTATTGCCACTGATGATGACGTCTTGAGGTCGAAACGCGTTTGGCACTAGGGTCATTTGTAGTGTTAATAGTTTGTTTGTTTGCTTATTGTATATTCTAATACACTACACGGTATGCAAAGTTTTAAGGGTACGTAAACAGCCAAAACATCAGATACTGGTCCGGTGAAAGTCTCCCATTCTGTTCATGAAGTTCTTGTAAACGATGTGAAAGTCAGTGTATGGTGCGCATCTAGTGTTCGGAGAACAATAGGACAAATTAACTCAGGGAGAGGAGGGGATTGAGGGCCTGAGAGTTATCGCCAAGTCAGACAGACCGAAGCGGACATTTGCAGGTCACGGAAGAGGAATGGGGGACTGTCCTCAACCAGAACGTTGTTGTAATAGTCGCTAGGAGAGGAAGCCGAAACGTCGGCTACCATTAGGCTACACGTACAATCCTATGAATGGGTTAGCAAAAGACTACGGCCCGTCTGCTCGCCCGGTTTAAATCCTTGTGACTTTTATTTATGTGACACTCTAAAAGATAAAGTATGTGTGAATAATTTTCACTCACTATGAGAACTGAAATAAAATGTTCGGCGGGGTAAAAGTAAAGTAATCTAGTCACATACCAACGTTTGCACTTAGGGAGATGAGGTATAGTTCTTACTCATTCTTAACCTCGGCACTAAAAGGGGGTGAGTGGTCAGTAGCACGCTCTGGCCGTGTTTACCCCCGGAAAGGACACCGGTACCCATTGGGCCCCAGAGAGGGTTTGGAAGCAGACCAAACAAGAAAATCTTCTGTCTCGGTTGAGGATCGAACCCCTATCGCCCAGCCAGTAGCCAGTCACTGTACTGACTGAGCTACCCGGCTCACTCTTCTGCAGTCTGTTTCAAGATAAACTAGACACTCTATATTCCATCTTATTCGTGCTTTTCATATTGCCGTATATTAGATAATGCAATAGAGTTTAAAAGCTACTGGATCCGATTTCTCTCTTTACCAGTAATCTTCAGAACAGACGAGAAAGTAAAATCAAGACCAGTTAGCTGAAGGCGGTAGTATAGCCAACCTCCGAAACGTCGTGTCTCAGACAATGGGCGGTGTCTAACTTCATATTTTTGCTTTACATTTCTCGTGGCAGCTTCCGGGATGTCTCTAGTGGTAATCAGCTGATATGGGAATAATATATTTATCACGGGTTAGGCAAAAGTGGCTTTTCCGCCCCAGTGTATAATTTATGACATTTTTTTAAATATATGTTTGTAACAATATAAATGAAAGTGTCTGTAAACGTGAAGGGTTGAAGAATGTGTAGTTTGTAAAACTGCATAACAGTTCCGGCGACCGGAGGCCGTCAGCCTTTTTGGTTCAGATATAACCCCTCTGCTTTCTTTGTGATCGAGTGTGGTGAAAATACAATAGATGTTCTCCAAACTTGGATTCTCATTTCGCAGAGCGATAGTACATATAATTCTGAGAGCGCGAAACTTTTTCAGAAAAATAAACAAGGAACATGACGATAATTAAAAAACTATATGATGCGAGATTATTTTAACGAAAGATATTAAGTTAGAGGAATTATTAATGGAAACTTCTTGCCTTTGCAAAGTTGCCAACTGCCAGAAATACAAATGAAAGACAGTTCCTCAGCTATTGCTCTAAGACCATTACGCTCCTTGTGATTTGTTTATGTTCTGCTTGTTTTGCGATAAGGAGAATAAGCCTATGGAGTCAAAGATCAATAATATGAGCAAATACGACATTCTGCTCTTGTGTCTCGATTAGCAGTGCTCTGTGCGTCTTGTACAAACGAGTGATGTTTGAAACGATATACAAAGTGCCGGATAAAGTGTGTAGTGAATCAATGTAGTTCGCGGTTTCATTTTAAGCACAAAACAGATCATAGAACGGTGTATTGCATTAACCTCATCTGGATGTTCATGTCGGGAAAGCAGGCTAAACTGGAATACCATTTATACGTTCAGTGCAGTGCAGAAGTTAATTTTTGTTAGAACTTGTCAACAAATTCAATCTGTAAAGGTAGCAGTGCAGGTCATACCGAAAAATTTGTGGCACATGCTGTCAGTGGACCATTCCCCCGTCCAACGAGTCCTGTCAAAATTATTCTGAGTCGAAATAGTCCAGGGGGTCTAATGCCTAAAAGAGAAGAAGGCGGTTGCTTATACCATATTTGTACAACATATTTTACGTTATCATCGTGTTGCATAAGGTTCCTGATAAGGATGTCAGAGATGATATTTCTATTTAGTCTTTCGTCAACGTCCTGGCATGTTCATAAGACCTAATCATTGTTGTTTATATATATTTTAATTATGCTTGTTCTTGTTGCTAAGGATTTGATACTTTTCATACGTTCTTCGTTCTGTTACTCCATCATTACAGTCCCCTGCCTATAAATTATTTATTTTCTTAGCTGTTTTGTTATTCCTCCCCCACTTTTTCCAATTAATGTCCAAAAGATGCATGCATACTATTTAAATTCCCGAGTGCGTTAAAAATTCAACTATAGGTACTTTTCAGATAGATATAAATGTATTCCAAATATTCTCACACTGAATTTCGTCTGACGAAGTATCTGTGTTCCTTTTCGGCCATCAGTGGCCCCCCTGACCAATTTTTCAGCACGTGACATATAAGATATTAGCGTTAAATTGAGCAAATGTGAATTTATTTGGCACTAATTGCAGATAGCTTGAGGCCTTTAATTTAATTAATTTGCAGTCCAGTGATTCTTAATCAAAACATCTAAAGGAACTTCATGGTTCATTGAAGGGCTGCATGATAAATAGATGGAAATAATTGGTTTCAGCCTGATAACCTCTTTTATGTTGAGTATTAATTACCAATACGAACCTCAATCTAAATTTTTGCCGCCCTAAAAACCTTTCATACTTGTGAACTAGTCGATGTTTGAGAGAACCGACGTCTTGCTGTTATCTTCAGTCGCCAGAATGAGTAGCCATTTCGTGGCTTATCAGAAGGAAGTTTGGTAATCATTGACATGTTATCTGTTGTACTGTAGTCTGCTGAAGATGTCGGGCTCTCTGTACGTAGTGTGGTGCATCAATATACAAAGCGAAATGTCACATTGTGTGTTAAATGTGAAACGAGAGTAAAAGGTGTGTCGAGACGAGTTGCAGCGCATAACAAAGCCATGGCTGTGTCATCTCCACCCACCAGACATCAATTAAAGCAGGCCATGCAAATCGTAGAAGATAACTGGCAATGTAAGTAACTGCGGCTGTATAGTCACCCAACAGCCGGCCGAATTGTGTCCGGCAGAGAGTTTTGCTGACGATACTGGATGGCTTTTACGTTACTATAGCACTGCTTCCCAAACTTTTTCCTTTATTACCCAAAACCGCTTATCAGAAAGTCCCTTTTACTTAATGTAGGTAAAACACTAACTGCACAGAAAACATGTGACAAGTGAAGAGAGATCGGTAAAACATAGGAAGCAAACGATGTTTGATGCAATGTCTTTATTTTAAACATTTAGCAGCCACAAAAAATTAAATTAAATCCGTGGCGTAACAGCTCCAGAGAGCTTGGCTGCTGGCCTCACGTTCACATGCCTAAGCAGAGGTGAACGATCATCCAACCAGATATAGGGTGACGTGTGGTCAACACGACGAACCCCCAGCCATTGCTAGTTTCCATGACCGGATTACGCTACTCATTGTAGCTCCCCAATTTCCTCACGATGCTGGGTTGGCACCGGTCCCATACACTGGTCGAAAGCTCATGAGAAAATTTCTTCTCGCCCGAGACTCGAACCAGCGCGCATTCCGTATCGCCGGTCCGAAGCATGATGCCTCAGACCGCGCGGCTGTGGCGCGGGACATCAGCCACAAAAAATTTGGTAATTATTCACCATGAATATTTCGTCACCCAGGTCCCAGGTAATGAGTATAATTCTACTGCTTCATCTTATTTATAGTTCCGCAAAATTGGGAGCAATTGGAGACAGAGCACACCTCACAACGTATTCGGGGTTCAGGAAACAGTTTCGTTTCGTGCTCTTTATGAAGACAAGAGTGGAAAATCCCACTTCACACACGCAGGTGCTCGGAAACTGCAATAATTACATCACGGCCTCCCCAGCTACCACAGGACATTCATCGTGAATTGTTAACCAGAAAGACTCCAAATGGTCCTTTTTCCCTTCAAATAACATTTTGCACTGACTGCTTGTCCTAAGCTCCGTCATTTGCGCTCCAAAACCATTAACACTATCAGAGATTTGGTAATTTACCCAGGTTTTGGAAGCACTGCACTATAGCCTACAGCAGTGGTTCTCAGCTGGTGTGCAGCGACATTTTGCCAATTGGACCGCGAGACTTTGAATGCAGGAATGATTATATAAAATAAAATATGAAAATTAAGAAATCAAATAATTGTTATGCGCAATTGGAGCCGTCTCCAAACGAGGTTGCTATATTCTGAATCACAAAAAAATGAGAGTGTTTTGTATTTTATCACTGATCGAAAGTCCACCATTCCTTTACGATTTTGCGTAAGAATGAAACGAGTACAAAAAGGTTAGAATTAAAAACCTTGGAAACATGAAACAAACTACACCAATTTGCAAATGGAATGGATCGAAATGAAGGATTTTACAGATAGTTAATATCAGCGTTAGTCGATATGGTGCTCCATTATAAACATAATATAGTCAAATGGGTGACTTCAGCGTGACCCACCTCTCCAAAAAAGATGATCATTTCTGCATCAACGAAAGTTTCATTAATCACACAAGTGAATTATTTCAATAATATTTATAAAACCTTGGTAAGTGCTATTAATTGGTAAAGAAACCCAACATGTATTCATTTTAAAATGAGAAAAGTGATCAAGATGTACTTTATACTCACGAATACGCACAAAGTTAAGAAGGACGGGGTACAATGTTGTCTGCTAAGCGTACTGGGCACTACTATATTAAGTTTGGACACCACTGCAAATACTTAAGCTTTCTAAACCGTCGTCATTTTTCTGTTTTACGATAATTTTATATTTTTACACAATAAATGGAATTACATAAAATAAGCGCACATTTAATATAAATTTTAGTTCTCTGTTCTAGTTCTAGTGTCTAGCAGAAACTGAATATCCCAATTGTGCCACTGGCACCAAAAGGCTGAGTATCACTCTCCTTCAGGCGACGAAAGATGGTATGACTTTTCTTGGGTAGGACGTCGTTCCAGCCGTCGCCTGTTGTAAGGCGGCAACCCAGAATACGTTCTGAGAGGCTCAGTGGCCACAAGATATCTGTAGTCAGGTTAGCCAGTGCCCAAGCGAAGATTTAAACTTGATACCTCCCGAAAACAACCTTGCGATGGTCGTTATGTAAGGAAAATCGTAGACCACCCAAAAGTGTGTAATGTAACAGACCGTACTAAGCATGAGCTGGTTTCCAATCTTTTAGTGTTCACGGCACTCTTGGGATATTAATTTCTTTATGCAGATGCATATTTGACCGTCTGCAGAAGAATGTTATCGACTTAAAGGCCTAAATCGTTGACACAGTGCTAACTTCATTGTGGCAGGATCGTCTTCAAAATCTGATAGTTAGTCAGCTAGTCAAAAAGACACCCTCTTTCATTACAGTATTCTAAATAGCCCACTGCTGGATTCTATCCTAAGTCACTTCAGTCTGGTCTGTACCTAACACCTTATTTTCCTTTAAGATAAATTTTATTATTCTGTACACTGGCGTATTTACCCTTCAGGTTTCGAAAAAAATAACTATTAATTTCTCGCTCTTCAAGAGTTCTGCCTGTTCTGCCCATCTCGTCTTATCTCGGTAACCAAATGGTTCTTGTTGAGGAAAAAAATTCAGCTTGACACCTCTTCTGAAATCCTGCATTTATGGCAAATTTCATGAATTTCAGTGAGAGACCATTGTGCGTAAAAAGTTGTTTCATTGAGCTGTGAAGTAACTCTCATTTTACTCACCTCATGTTTGAAGGAGTCACTCGTGAGACCGAAATTATAATAGCTGTGAGACCAAAAAGTCTCCATATATTAAAAAAGTAATCATGCTCTCAACAGGTGACCTTGTCAACAATAGTGGTAGAACCTAATTATCCGGTAGGTGACTGCGAACAATATGACCAAACATTAATTACAGTCCTCGAGATTGTTGTAGGATTAAGCGCGCTTTTATTAGGAAAACGGTAGAAAAAATGGGACAATACAGCGCGAATGTCACCGATGGTACAAAATCGAAATAGCTTGGCTGTGTTGGGATTGTGGAGTGTGACAAATATAAATCGTTCTCAGAAAGGGTATGAGATTTTAGACGTGAGACTAATATGAATGCAGCTGAGATGGAAAGGCAGCGAGCGTCTCAGCGACTGAGACAAGTTACTGGATGTTGTGCAGAAAACATTTTCAATGAAATGTTATTTTAACATGTAAATGTGTGAACATTGTACTGTGTTAGCATTTATAACCGAGAAAGGACAAACTTTTCAAAAGTTTCTGATGCTTCTATATCCTTTGTTTTTGAAAACTGAATTTTGACTGATATTGAATTATTCAGCGTTTATGGCCGCTGACCTTGTATGGAGAGCCCAGTATGCAGACCACTCAATGATGATAATAAGCAGAGGGGGGAGGAAGGTAAGCAATTAAGATTGCTACTTGTTTCCGTTAATAGCTCAGTCAGTATAGTGACTAGCTACGGGCTGGACGACCGGGATTCGATCCCCGACGGGGGCAGAGGATTTTTCCTCTAGCCTCTGCGTCCAGACCGGCTCTGGGGTCCACCCAGTCTTCTCTACAATGGGTACCGGGGTCCTTTCCCGGGGGTAAAGCCAGCCGGGGCGTGATGCTGACCACTCACCCCATCTATTGCTGAAGTCAAGAAAGGGAGGAGCTATACCTCCTCTCACCCCAAGCGCCTACATGGCGCATAGCGGGACAAATTTTACTTTACTTTTACTTGTTTCCGTTAGTCAGTACAGTCTGTGTCAGTGCAGCATTTTGGAAGCCTGATATTGTTGTCTTGCGACTGTGTTGTGTTAACATGCCACCTGTTCGTTCCAAGTTAGGTTCCAAAATATTGCACAGTCAGAGCCGAGAAATTGTCACGAACGGCTGCAATTTAATGAAAAGAGAGCCAAGAAGGAAAGATAAAGTCACTTCGCCACTATACTTTAAAAAAATACAAAAAGTGCTGAAAAGAGTGTCAGAAGCTACTGGTGTGTCCGAAAGGACAATTAGAAGGAATCTGAAAGAGCGAGAAGAACACGAGGAACAAGGCACTTCATTTGGAACGCCTGGCAAGAAGCACGACGTCCCTAAGCGAATAACTGAAATAGACGACTTTGATAAATGTGTTGTTCGGCGCACCATCCACAATTTCTTTGCACAGGAGGGAACTGTTCCAACAATTGCTAAATTACTTGTAAATCACAAAGAGAGCATTGATTTTAAAGGAAGATGTTCAAGCCTCAGAAGAATCGTTAGGGACCTCGGTTTTAGGTAGAAGAAGACCAGGGCAAACAGAGGGGTGCTCATTGAGAGGCACGACATACGATCAATGCGCGTATCGTACCTGACTGCACTAAGAAAGTACAAAGCCGATGGACATCCAATCATATTTGAAGACGAGACTTACATTCATGAATTGGACTGACGATAGTGATTCCGGTTTGTTGGCGCCAACATCAAAAGTTGAGAGACTTATCATCGTTCATGCTGGAGGTTGAGCAGGCTTTATTTCAAACGCACTTCTCATGTATAAATCTAGGCAGAAAACCGGAGATTATCACAATGAAATGGACAGTAAAAATTATGCCCGCTGGTTAAAAACAATGCTAATACCAAATTTACCACCAAACTCCGTTCTGGTCATTGATAACGCCTCGTATCACAACACCCAGATAAACAAACCACCGACATCTAACTCAAAGAAAGACGAAATGAAAGCCTGGCTAATGGAAAGAAACATCCCATTTTGTGACAACATGTTGAAAGCCAAAGCACAAAGGGCATACTGTGCTGAGACTTTTGCCCTACCATCCCGATTTAAACCCCATTGAACGTATTTGGGCAAATGTGAAACAATGGGTTGCAAGCAAGAACACAACATTTAAAATTAAGGACGTCGAGCAAATGTGTCGCCAGAGATTCGAAGAAATTGGGCAAGAGGAATGTGAGAATGTATGTTGGTATGTGGAAAAACTAGAATAAATTTATTATGAGCAAGAAGGTATAATCGAAGACGCTATTGAACGCGTAATAATTGAAGATAATGGAGCGGCAGCAGTGATGAATCGAGTGATATGTCAGAAAGCGAAGGTCTTTGAGGAGTGGAAGAATTGAAAGAGGACCGAAGAGTTGTGTGGAATATAAAATTATCTAATACACTCTGCAGTGTTAATTTTCTAGTGATGTGTAGTGTAGTGAGATCGACTTTCCTGTGTTACATACCGTGCTGATATTTTATTTGGAGTGTTCTGTACGCTGCCTCCTGCCACCCGTTCTGGTAAGTAACTCACTCCGAGGTTCCAATTCACAAAACGCAGTGGCAGAAAACGCTGGAACCAAGTCTAACACAGAGGACGCCAGACGTTTTCGAAAATATCCGCTAGGCCTACTGTATCCACTTCGTTTAACATGATACACGGCCATTTTAATGGAGGTAGTCAGTGATATAATACAAGTATTTTATCAACACGGATTACGGACAAGCAAATCACAGAATGGATAAATCTGTATTTGTGATAATAAAACCGCTCTCTTTTCTTACGTAAGAGACCAGTATGCCGTCTTCGTTGACAGTAATTACACATAATGGGGAAACATTACTGATCCCTTTGCACAGGACACAAATACGAAAACCACGCTTAGACGAAACAAACGGGCTGAGGGAAGGAAAGGACGGGAGCCCATCGGTGCGGTGGGATTAAGAGCAGGGGCGTAGCCCCTGATAATTACAGTAGGCTATTCTACGGAGTACCCCGACGAGATTTGTATAGGTGTGTGTGTGTAGCTGTGCCTAGGTCCCGATTCAAAGAAAGATCGAATATTCGCATGATTTGCTCACTGGCTTAGCTGGGCAAACCAGATTGTGGTTTTTCTCTGAATTTCCAAACTGTATTTTCCTTTTATCCGAAAATAGGTCACGTCCGTTTGCTTTCAACGCATCACCAACAACAACAACAATAATAATCATAATCATAAACTCCAGTTCACTTACTATATTAAATTGCTTGCCAACAGCAAAGAGGCTATGACAGGTAAATAACAGCAAGTATATAGATGAACTATACACTGTAGATTGAACACATTAAAAGAAAATTAAACTAAAATAAATAATAAATCCAAACAATTTTCCATACAAAAGAAGTGTCTTCAGAGGAGACATTGCATACCAAACTGAAGGACTGTGTGCAAGTGAAATGCTTACGCTGAAAATATGCGATTTTCTTATTTACCTTGTACACACACGAATACCGAGTGTTCAAGATTAAATGGCAAATTTGTTTGCTTGTTAAAGCATTCATAGAAAATATAGCATCGATATGTCGTCTTAAATGAAATGTTGTAAAATGTCAGTATTTCAGAATTAGATTATAATCAAGTAAAATATCAAACTGAAAAATATTATAGTGACACAAATTAGCAAATATTCTTGCCACATTTTCAGTTCTATTGGAGTTAGCCAGTTAACGACAATGGCGTACTCAAGCTTTGACTTAACTGAATCGTTACACAGAATTTTTCATTGAAAACGCAACCCTAACCATAACAGTATTCGTAAGCTTGGATGACTTAAATATGAGAAGAAAACGAGATGTCTTTCAGTGTTACTTAAACTTTGAGGAGCGTCTCACCGTCAACACCATTTGACGCTGCTTGTTTTTCCTGTCGCACTCTCGCGGCCTCAAGTACACTAAAGAAGAATGCAGCTTGAAGTGAATCCACGTGGACCCAGTTAAATTGTGCGTTGTTTTGCATTCAGTAGATAAGCTTTCTGTCTGTGTTCTGAAGAACGATAGAATAAGTGCAGAGTAGTGCTGGTTAGGTAAAGGTATCTGTATGTAAACATTTTTATTTATATTTGCTAAAGTCTTTCGACAAGGCCAGTCGTCGATACGTTATAAGTTTACCGAGTATTTTAAGAAAGCTAATTCTACAAATTGGGATTGTCTCCGGATTACTGAGTGCCTCAGCTATGGACGTCAAGGAGGAAGAATTTCTACGCCGTGAACGTAGGCAACTAATATGCCTCAACAGGTGAGGAGGTTGCGTTCTTATTGGCGAAAGTGGTTATAAGAAAAGGCTTATAAGTGCGTACATCAATGCATATTGGACCGATTTATGATTTATTTTGCCTGTGACGCTACAGTGCGCTGTGCTATAGTTACTAACAATGAGAATAAATAAATTGGTACTGTGCTCCACACATGCCTTGACACTTATGTTCTGCCTTTTTAATGTATATCTATTAATGTTGTAGGATTTGAGGTTCTCACGGCGGTGAGTCTGAAGATTGCTGTCTTCTGGGTTGTTGCGCCGTGTAGTCTGGTAGATATCCACCAGCGCCCTGATGATGGAGACAGCATTGACCTCTGAAATGTTGGTCGACATCTACCAGACTACCCGGCTCAACAACCCGGAAGACAACAACCTTCTATTAACGTTCTTATTTTTTCAGTTCGGTGGACCACTCGAATGAAGGTCTCGGACCATCTGCAGACCACATTTTGGCGGCCTCTGTTGTACAGCATAATTAATAGCTTTGTATCAGAAGTTCAACAGTACAGGTATAATTACCGTGCTTGTGTTCCGAAGTATAACATGGCCAAACTTTGCGAAAAGTGTTGAGCGACCTAAGACTTCTTGCACACACGACCTACAGTAGTCTTCAGCGTTAGGAAGAATATTGTGACTGACCTTAATTAGAAAATAAATGTTATCAGGACATCCAGGGAAATGTTACACAGCAAAAAATTGTGTTAAACCGGAAGTAACACAGGAAAACAAAACAAATCCTGTTTGAGATTTTTTGGGGTGTTGTCTTCTGGGTTATTACACAGTACAGATGGTTATCAATGTTTCAGTGACTGTTGTTTTCTCTTGAATTTTTGTAACCACCCACAGAATTACACAGTGTCATAACCGAGAAGACCACAATAAATAAATGGTTAATTAATTCTGCGTTATGACATTGGTATGTTACCTACACATTGAAATACAGTAGATTCCGGTTAATTGGGCCATCGGTTAATCTGGGAAAAATCTTAAAGGATAAACCTTTTTTTTAAATATTTACGTGAACTTGGCATAATTGGGGCAGCAGCTTAATTGGGTCAAATGTTTTAGTCCCGATGTGTCCCAATTAACCGGAATCTACTGTATTTATACTAACGAAGTATTAATAATTATTATATTTTAAAATTCTTCAGTTGATTTCACATTATTGTCTGCAGGGGATCAGGTGACAGTAGTCTCAAATGAAAATACTACTCAAGGAGATGTGCGTATATAGCAGAACAGAATAACAATTTTCATTTTGTATTCCTGTCGATAAATAAAATATGAAGTTTAATAGGAAGTGTCCCATGAAATAAACATTAGAAGTCCTTGAACAGGTCTGAGGCTTTAACTATCAGGCCACCAAATGCAACAGAGCAGTGTGTCTGAAGCTGTGTAATCTCAAGCGTTCCGCGAGAAAATACTGTCTAATTACGGTCTAATTTCAAAATATATTTGTTACCTCAAAAGAATAGTTAACTTTATATATTGCTATTAAGCCACACTTTACCTGTAGATACTTAAGTTTGAAGCTATTAGTATGAACATTCGAATGGTTTAATTGTTACAGCCTGGAATTATTTGAGCATTTACAAACAGTCGTATGAATTTATTCGAAGTTGATCGCCTTATGGGTTGAAGGGCCGTGTAGTCTAGTAGAAGATTATCAACGTTTTTGAGGTCACTGCTGTCTCCATCACCAGGCCGATGGTGGGGGCAGCAAGGACCTCTGAAACTTTAGTAAAATTCTACCAGAGAAAACGGCTCTGTAACCCAGAAGACAGCCACATTCGTACTCTCCGCTCTGAGAACCACAAATCCTACTTGAACTTGTTCGGCTTAGAAAGTCGACTGAATTTGTACCCTTCCATTAATTCGGAAAATAGACGAAGAACACGATGGATCATTCCGCTGTAGTTTTGAAACCCTCGGTTCATTGCCAGCTGTTGGGGAAAATTGTAAACGGAGTGTTGAAAGAGACATGAAAAGGCTTTAAGCTGTTTTCTTCTCCAGCAATCGAATGGATCGACACACTTCCATTTAATTGTTATTTTAATGGCGCACTAACGTCTAATATAATTTGTGTGGTACGTTCTGAAGGTAGTATGAAAATAACGACATTGAATTTCATAACAGAAATCAACGAACAACAATAGATAACAGAGAACAATCACTTTAAAAGCGGACTTTGGTTTGACGTAAATACGTCTATACGGAAGGGTCATTCGGCAAACAAGTGAAAGGAAAATGTGAAAGGAAAACGTGTAAGATCCATATCAACAATGTGTTAATATGGATCGACAACAATGGTCAGCTTGCATTGTGCCATCTGTTTACTCGGCATTGTTGTTAATTATTTTGTAATTAAAGCCAATATATAAACTTCCTTTCCGTATAGACGTATTTACGTCAGATTCTCCGGAACCGTGGTTCCCCTGTCAATTTTTATTCGTGTGATTTTTATCATCTAAAAATAGTCCCACAGGAAAGTTATGTATAATTTATAAACTATTTCAACTCAAACATAATATTTTCTTGTAACTGTTTCTGATTATCATTCAGGGACATATGTACTAAAGAATAATGCATAATTCAAGCTTCAGATACACTTTCGTTAATGAACTGTATTTTTCAAAGTAACTCATAAAATATTACTGGCGTTCAATAAAACAATTTTTTATCATGAAGTTTTTGAAATGTTGCTAAGGATCTCGATTGTGTTAATGAGGGCTGACCTTTGGATGGATGAGCTGGGAGGTCGCCAAGGGAGTCGGCCAGAACGGGGCATTAAACAGACTTTCTTTATTTTTGTAATTGTGCAAAGCAAATGTCAACAGCGCCATGTTGTATTTGTGTTTGATCTTATGGTCTTCACATGACACGCGGTGTGTTTAGCACGAAGTTTTCGTTTTTCTTTCATGCAAGTGGAGTTGAGAGAGATTTCGTTGTTGAAATGTTATGAACGCGTTATCGACTATATGACATTGAATGTCGTAATGGCTTTGCGAGTGGCAGGGGGTTTTCAGTGACAACACTTTGCATGTGAAGTAATGCAGAATTTTTGGTGACGTAATAGCTCCGGAACAGAGGACGGAATGAAATAGACGGCAGTCAAGGAGATAAGTATGAGAAATGTAATACAAACAAATTGTCAACATTACGTTACTACTAATTTAATTAAAGGATTTATTTTAATTATGTATTATAAACGATTCCGATTAAGACGAGTGTAAATAATATCATAAAATGCAATATATCTTTATAAAAATTACGATTTAGACTAGAACGCTTCTTGAACTGAACGACCTTGTCGGTCATTCACCCTGATGACGTAATCAGTAGAGAAGGGTGGGGGTAAATAAAAATGGACGTGGGTGGGGCATCGGAATAGCTCGGGGGCTCAAAATCTGGTATAAGCGTACTGATATTACTTTCGCAATGTTGCATTCACTTGATGTTTTGATCAACGCTGGGTGTTTCGAGGGGCACGGCTTATATCCAATGCTCGAAATGGGTCAGAACTTATTTTTGTCTGTGAATTTCATACCGGCATTTATCCTGACGAAATTGTCATAATACCTTTCCTAAATATTGGATATCATACAGCTGCATTTATAGAATGAAATAGAATTGTGGTGAGGAAGTAATTCAGTTGACGTCATGCTAGGGGCAGATTCAGTCTAAGAAATAGAATGCTAAATATTTTTGCTCGTATATAAAATACGTTAGATATATATTTCTGTCGACAAACGCAGACTAAATACTACCGAATATGAATATGGTGTTAGTATTTGGATAGCTCAGGTGTATATGTTTCAGACATCTGTGTTGTTTTAAATGTTATTTCTGAAACCATTGCAACTGGCAATTCTGTTGAGAAATGCTTGTATCAAACACTTCCTACTTACTGGAATAAAGAACAGTGGTTGCAGAAAATGAGAATGAATTTGTAATTATCATCATCTCGTACAGGACTTTTGACCTGTTTCAATTCTGAATTACATCAGAAATTATTAATCTGTATAGACATTTTGTTGCACTCCTTGGACGGGCGATCAGCCCGTTGGAAGGCCTCTGGCTAAACAACACAACACCACGGAAAGCGACAAACCAACATCCATCCGGGAATAGCTTCCGCCATTCCAGTGTCCAAGCGCCGAATACTTACGCAGAGCTTTGTTGGAAGACGTTAATCTCAAGTTGGATCTTAGGATATTTACAAAACGCAGGGAACTAAAGTTGTGCACGGAACAAAGAAGGCATTGTTTTAAGTTTTGGCACAATTAACGAAAAAAAGAGAAGAAAGGCAGTTCATACGGAAAAGAAATGCTTTAACTCGTAAACTGTGTTGTACATCAGCCATGTATCACAGTGCAGGTAAAACCAAATGAAGATAAATTACAGAAGACGCTATCCACCTCCTGCCAGGACAGTCATGACCGTAAGTCCCGTGTGCATTTTGGAAACGACCTTATCAGAAATTTGGGCAAGTTTTCTAACTCGACACCGAGTTCTGTGCTTTCAGCTTTGGGTTATTATCCTCTGAACTAACCATCTAAAAAGTTGGCTATCTAAAGCCTCTACTTGACGGTCGTTTAGTAGCTGTTGTTGATAACTGTCTCCCACTTAATATTTATGAAAAGCAACCGACGTCTGCTATATTTTCGTCCAGAACGATTTGTTGGACGTTGAATTAGCAAACAAAGACGCCATGCTGGTGGTACAGCAAATAGATCGCTTCTTACTGAAAAAAGAAAATTGAGGATTCCCTGTAGTGGAAACTGTGCGGAAACACTGTGTTTATGCATGAAAAACCGTCGATACGGCAGATTAATTAACGAATTTTCATATTGAATATTTTTGTATGATAAAAAATTAAATGCGTCCCACTATACGCCATGTAGGTGCTTGGGGGGAGAGGCGGTATAGCTCCTCATTCTTGACTTCGGCACTAGATGGGGGTGAGTGGTCAGCATTACGCCCCGGTCGCGCTTTACCCCCGGAAAAAAGACCTCGGTACCCATTGGATAGGAGGCAGGGTGGGTCCCAGAACTGGTATTGACGCAGAAGCTAGAGAATAAATCCTTTACCCCGTCAGGGATCGAACCCCGGTCGTCCAGTCCGTAGATAATCACTGCACTGACTGAGCTGACTCGCCCCATTTATGCAATTTTATCAGCTGTAATTCTTAACGGGGTTAATAATTGCACTAACGACATATTTGAGTAGTGATAATGTGACCGAACAGTACACAATCAAACTACCGTCAATATCATTTTATTTTTTAAAAATGTCGTTTACTCTTCACAGGATTTTGTCGAAAACTATCTCGATTCCTTCTTCATTGTCTTCCGCCATAATACGGGTACATGGAAAATGCTTACTAGAGCAACAACATAGGAGAAAAGGCAATTCCGATACATAAGAAGTACAGGTGTGAGACACGAGAGGCCTCTTCAGGCACGAGACTGCTCACCCCCTTCGCCGCCACTGTGTTAACGCAGTCGCCATACGTTTATTTGCGAATGAACCAGATTATGCGGTCTTATGGAAATAAGACCGCATAATCTTATCAGACACCTTAATAGTCTGATAATCTTATCAGACAACTTAACAGTCGTAAACAAATGGTTCGGAACCAAAAGCCTGCCTGTAAATTTTGATGAAAGGAACTTCATAAAATGTATAATTAATAACAAGCCAATAACTAATTTGCTAATGAAGACAATGATCAAGATATAAAACAACTAATTTCTTCGGTATGCCAATTGGTAATCGCCTAAATTGAAGTCTCAAGAGCACTTGTTCTGCAATATGTAATAAGAAAGAAAGAAAGAAACATTCGATCAGATTTAGTTGGCCTACTAGATAGATAAGTTTAGGCTACGGTTCGTTTCACTATT